TTGTTACGTTACATCTCTGCCTGTTTTTTCGAACTTAGATGACGAATCCTTCCTTGTTGCCGCCCTCTTGTACGCCACACACGCCATCTATCGTGGTCTTTCTGCATATTTATGTCACAATTGTACATCCATGAACATTCAGTGTTCATGGATCATCGAAGTTGCAATTCCCGTACGATTGCAGAGGTTAAGCATCGTTGGATGGCGTATAAGATTGGGTGGGTGACTACTTAGGAAAATAAGGAAATTAATTTCCAAATGAGGAAGCGGTTTTTTTCAATTATAATTTTGTCGTGTGTTTTCTGGAATATGATGTTAATCAATAATACTTATTTTAATAATAAAATTGAATTAATTAATGAGAAACATTTTTTATGTCTCACAGACATTGTAATTCAATGGACATTAGACATTTCTGCAACGTTTCTTCAATATTGAATCTACATTTCGCGATGTTACTGCAATGTTGCAAATCAACATTTCTGAGATATTGATTTTCCTACGTATGTTAGTGTGCTGTATGGGGGTTGCGTCACACGGTCCGTTCTTTTTTTCGTCTCAATTAAATATAAATACGTGGAATTTTTGCTTTGGTGACGATCCTTCCATAACGTCATAAATCTGTTATCCAGACTTCATCTCCTGGAGATAGTTCTTGAAAATCTCGAACGCCATGCCGTTTATCAAAGTTCTGTTTTTGACGACTTCAATATCCAGCTTCTCAATTGCTTAAAGCTGACTGTTCTGGGATTTCTGAAAGCAATTTATTTGATGCAATAATATTTTCGTCTTAATCCTCTTGCACATAAGAAATTCTGCAGGGGAGTATCTGTACAGAAATGGAACATTTCTGTAATTCATCAGTGGATCTGTAATACCTCATATGGATCTTCATTTTTCTTTTAGACATCTTTTAATTATTTGAACGCTCACTTTCACCATCCTGTTATTTTGGGGAAAGCGAGGGCTAGATGTAATGTGTATAAAATCCCATTCAACTGCAAATTTTGTAAACTTTGCAGTTACGACAGATTCGAACTGTGATTCCATTATTGCTCCTCATTATTTCGGAAATTCCGCAAAAAAAATTCTGCAAAATGCTCATTATACACATTATTTGGAATGCAAGTAATGTCCGTTCCAGTGTAGACTTTTTCCGGAAGTCGATGACTGTTACCGTCCATCTACCTTTATCCAATTTCTTTATCAAATTCTGATAAAGAGAGATTGATTCAACGCTTGAGCTTTCCTCTACGATAATTATAAACGTATCTTCGGTCTCTTTGCGTGCCTCTATCGCACGTACTGCTGCGTTAGTTACTATCTATTTCGGCATACTTTTGTGTAGTGTCCTATCTTTTAATATGAGTGACATGCAACTTTACTTGTGAGACATTTTTTTGCAAAATGCGATCTACCTCCACTTTCGACAAATCACCCATCCCTATTTTATCTTTATTACCTATATAGAGTCTTGATTTCTCTCACTCTTTCTCTCTGCTATTTCGCTTGCGTACTTCTTTTGCTTGCGTGTATGAACATGGTCCAATTTCATATCGTTGTGTAAGATTGGCAATTGTCGCTTGATCTACTCGCTCTGCTTTGCTATCCTGACAACTGTTTCCAACGTGAGATCTTACTACTAGTCTATCACAAATGAAATCATCTTTTAATGGTCCGTATTCGTAGAATCCAGCCAGTCTGTGAAGATCAGTAATGTATTCATCAACGGATTCGCTTTCGCCTTGATGGCAGCGATTGAACATGGCATGGTCGTAGATATATTATGTTTCACTTTACTATAAAACGTGAAGACTTTCTTAATCTCATCATATTTATCTTTCTTATCAGCGGGCAGCTGCAATGACACGAACACATTATCAGCTTAATCCCCTATGCAAATTAACGCATTGATTTGCTCACTCTCCGTCTTGTCCGCGAGTCCATACACTATTCGGTATCTCTTAAAACACCGTATTCATTTTGACCATTCTTCTCCCGCCCGGGCGAAATTTAGCTGCTCTGACGATTGCCACAAGTTTACGATTGCTGCCGCCATAATCACCTATATCTTTTTCTTTTCGAATCGAAGTTATATCCTAATTCTTCAGAATCGCACTTCTGACACTATGTATTGTTACGCACGGTATTTGGGAGATAATTAATAAACAGCGAAATATATATTTAACACCTACGAATATCGGAAAACTTTATTGTATCTCTCTATGTTATATCTCTGTCTGTCTTCGAATCTACGAGGTCTGTTCAAAAAGTATCGCGAATTTTGTGTTTTTTCAAAAATTATTAATTTATTCATGAATATCTATTTTGTCCCCTTCAAAGTAATCCCCATCAGATATTATACACTTGTGCCAACGTTTTTTCCAATCCTCGAAGCACTTCAAAAAATTATTTTTTGTGATCTTGTTCAGCTCCTCCTTCGATGCCGTCTTTATCTCCTCGATCGTAGCGTAGTGTCGTCCTTTCATGGGCCTCTTCAGTGTCGGGAACAAGAAAAAGTCAGAGGGGGCCAGATCTGGGGAATACGGTGGCTGTGGCATCATTAGTGTGTTGTTTTTGGTCAAAAATTGCAATGTTAATGCGATGCTATTTTTGGTCGAAATTGAGCAATTTTGGTACGAATTTCGCGGCGACCCATCTCATGCCCAAATCATTGGTAAAAATCGAATGGCACGAGCCAATCGATATGTTTAGGTCCTCAGCAACCTCTCTAACGGTGATTCGACGATTGGCCAATACTATTTTCTTCACTTCATCAATGTTTTCGTCTGTTGTTGACGTGCTCGGGCGTACGGCACGCTCTTCGTTGTTCACATCTTCTCGGCCCTCTGAGAACATTTTGTACCACCGATAAACGTTGCTTCGGTCCAAGGTAGCTTCACCATATGCCACAGTCAACATTCGGAATGCGTCCGCGCACTTGATTTTGTTTTTCACACAAAATTTGATACAGATTCTTTGATCCATTTTTTGGAATAGGCAAAAATCGAAGACGAGCCAAAACACGTGCAAGCAAAGCAGCTGTCAAAAATTAACTGAACATTCAAAATGACCGAACTTGTCGGTATAAGTGAGAGACATGAGTACCAACATAACGCCACAAAAAATCGAAAATCGAATATACGTAACCCGCGGAAATTCAAAATTCGCGATACTTTTTGAACAGACCTCGTGTGCAACCTAGATGATGGATCCTTCCTTGTTGGCGTCCTCTTGTGCACACACGTGTCATCTATCCGTTATTTCACAATGTCTTTCCTCTATCTCTAACCGTTTTCGAGAAGAACGTAGTGAACTTTTTATCCGGACTCACCCTATATTCTCTCTTCTTATTGTGCGTTCAGACGATGACCTTCAAATTTTACTTCTCATCTTCCTCATCTCTTCATAAATATTGAAAACTTGTCTCCCTGTATAAACTACAGATTTAGATAAATTTGAGCAAGTTCAAAAATTGTTCATTACGTTGGAAATAAAAAATCTTATTTAAAATACATAAATCTAAGTATGGTTTTTAAACCTACACAAATTTGTTTAAATCTGCAATTTTTGTACAAATCACAGTATAATCCCTGTTGAATAGATCTTATTTATTCACAAAAATCCATTTGTTGTAGGACAAAATCTGCATATATAATTTTATATGTATGTATATATATATATATATATATATATATATATATATATATATAAGCTTGTTTAAAATTAAATAATTTTTATTCTAAAACATATTTTAAAATATATTTTTATGCAAATAAATAATAGGTTTTTTCAACAGGAATATACGTTTACACATTTTCAAATGCATGGCATTCCTATTTTTGCAAATATTGTCATAATGTTGTTGTCAATGCTGTTTTTCACGGATATCACATCGTGATGACAAGTTGCTCTCATGTTGCCATCAAGATGCCGTCAACATGCTATCAAACGCGAACAGCGTGTAGTGCGTAAAGCTATGAAAATAGTTGCCATCACATGTACATTCGTTATGCATAAGAAAGTGGTATCATCAAAATGTTATCAATTTGCAATCATTAAATTTAAAATTTATATGAAAGCAATATTATACACATGAAAAGCTACTTATTCATCGACATCTATTGCAGCAACGGTTGACAGCAACATGGCGGCATCTTCGACGCATTTGACTATCTGGGTTATACGTACCATGTTATCACTTTGTTTTTGACTGTTTTAAATTTAAGACCTCTGATGAGTTTTATTAATTACAATATTTTTCAACATGATTTATTTAATTGTTTATGATCCGAAAGTGTTATTATTCGGAACATTTTGTCATTATAAATGAGTTTATGGCACACTGCATGAAAAGAAAATTTTCGTTTTGTAATCATTATAAAACACTGTAAAATTTATATTATAGTTGTAAATATATATAATTTCCATCCAGTCTTGAAACTGTGATGAGATATGGATTGTTATTTATTTCTCCCTTGAGCGAAATGATGCGACATCAAATTTGGTGATGTAAATGCCGCTATCCTGTGAATTTTTTATTCTTTAACTGTAAAATTATGCCGAAGATGACTCAAATCTACAGCGTAGATTTAACCAAAACGCTCATATTATATTAAAATATTAAAATCGGTATGTTTTGTTGATTTTTGTCAGCGCATTACTTTTCGCGCTGACTTCTATAAGCGTTGGTGTTATTTGTTTTTAACTTTTTTTTATAAAAATTGCTATTTTTGCATTTATTTTAAAATGAAAAATTTTAAACTAAAACAAAATTTCGCTAAAATCTAAATGTGACCAACAGTTTTCATTAAAAACATACCATAAATTTCGCGCCTTTTAGATTACATATAAATCATACCCATTATAGTTTTTACATGACCTAATTATACTTAATTGCCATTTATTCAAAAACGCTTCAAACTTTCCGAATAACTCCATAACATCAATCGAATAACTGTTGTAAATATAATTAGTATATATTAAATATAAGAACTAACCTGTGTAATAATACGTAATATTTTAAAACGTTGTCTGCCTTTAGCTTTCAAACGAAACTCTCGTCGACCATGATCCAACCATATACCCCCATCTGTGTATTCGTAGATTTCAGCAGTTGTCCCTATTCGCTCCATATCAGGATTACCATAACACACGACACCAAAAGTACGATCATTTTGTATACAAGTTTGTAACATCTCTATAGTCTGTGTGCCAAAGACTGTCATTGGTAACGTTTGTCCAGGGAACAATACAGACTGCTTCACTAATAATGGTAGATTTATATAAATACCATCATCCAATATAGTTCTTCCTCTCAATTCCTCTAAATTTTGTCCTAAATACTACAGAATAAATTTAATTACATATTTTATAAAGTTTTAAGTTACGTGTATTACAAATAAACATGGCCAATAGTATATTAAATGTTATTTATCTTTAGAATACCAGAAAATATAGACTTACAGAATGTGCTGCTGGTAATGTTACATCAAATGTATTCTCTGAGGGCACTGGTACGTCATCCATATTGGGCTCTAGCCTATTGCTTGACAGATCTAAGAATATATTACTGCTCATCATATATTGATAATATATTAAATATACAGGGTGTCCTATTTTGAATAATGCATTAAGATTTCCTGAAAACTATGCTAGATACGGAAAAATATTTTAAACAAAAGTTGTATAGTTTAGAGAGGAATATAAAAAGATATCACTGATTTGATCAAAGCCATTGGAGGTTGTACTTTTTTTTATTTGAACGTAAAAATGAATTTTTAGTGCAAAAATGAAAATAAAAGGAATAATCTCTAGTGGCCTTGATCTTGACAAATGTTATTCAGGACATAATCCTGAATAACATTCGAGAGATTTTAGCCATCGGTCAGACACCTTGCGTAATGCTAATGCCGGCGGTACTGTAACTTTCAATCCTCATAACACAAAAAGCACTTAAAGAAAAAATATTTTATAATAGTGTTTTGAAAAGCTCTCGAGATAACCTACAAGAATATATAATAAAAAATAGGGGATTCTATTTAAAAAGATCGACGTCACCTTAACCTGGTCTTGACATTATCCAAGATCAAGTCAACCTTCTTATCTCCCTTCGAATTATACAACTTTTGTTTGAAACATTTTTCTGTTCTACTATATATACAGTTTTCGAGAAATCTTAAATGCATTATTTAAAATAGAACATTCTATATTATATAAGGTGTCCCATTTTAATGTCCCATCCCAAATAATTTTTTTATTTTTGATCTTAAAAAAAAATGTTTCAGACGAAAGTTGTGACCTCTAAAATCATTGGAGGTTGCTCCTCTTATTTTCATTTTTATGTAAAAATGAATTCTTGGTGCAAAAATGAAAATAAAAGAAATAATCTCCAATGACTTTGATCTTAACAAATGTTATTCAAGACATGATCCCGAACAATATTTAAGAGGTTTTAGTCGGTCGGATACCTTGGATAATGCTAATGCCGGCGGTGCTGCAACTTACAAGCCTTATAACTTGAAAAGTACTTAATGAAAATGAACTTATTTATAGTATTTTGGAAAGCTCTCGAGATGATCAAGAATGTACAATAAAAAATAGGGGGTTCCATTTAAGAAATTGAAGGTAACCTTCACGTGACCTTCAAACAACTATTCAAAGTCAAACTAATGACATATATATATACATATATATATGAGGTCTGTTCAAAAAGTATCGCGAATTTTGAATTTCCGCGGGTTACGTATATTCGATTTTCGATTTTTTTGTTGGTACTCATGTCTCTCACTTATGCCGACAAGTTCGGCCATTTTGAATGTTCAGTTAATTTTTGACAGCTGCTTTGCTTGCACGTGTTTTGGCTCGTCTTCGATTTTTGCCTATTCCAAAAAATGGATCAAAGAATCTGTATCAAATTTTGTGTGAAAAACAAAATTAAGTGCGCGGACGCATTCCGAATGTTGACTGTGGCATATGGTGAAGCTACCTTGGACCGAAGCAACGTTTATCGGTGGTACAAAATGTTCTCAGAGGGCCGAGAAGATGTGAACGACGAAGAGCGTGCCGGACGCCCGAGCACGTCAACAACAGACGAAAACATTGATGAAGTGAAGAAAATAGTATTGGCCAATCGTCGAATCACCGTTAGAGAGGTTGCTGAGGACCTAAACATATCGATTGGCTCGTGCCATTCGATTTTTACCAATGATTTGGGCATGAGACGGGTCGCCGCGAAATTCGTACCAAAATTGCTCAATTTCGACCAAAAACAGCATCGCATTAACATTGCTAAGGAGCTGTTGGACTCTGTCCGCGACGACCCAAATTTGCTCCAGAGGGTCATAACTGGTGACGAATCATGGGTTTATGGTTATGACGTGGAAACCAAAGCTCAATCATCCCAATGGAAGCTGCCGCACGAGCCAAGACCGAAAAAAGCGCGCCAAGTTCGGTCGAATGTGAAGGTTTTGCTTACAGTTTTCTTCGATTGCAGGGGCGTGGTGCATCATGAGTTCTTGCCACAGGGTAGAACGGTCAATAAGGAATATTACCTGCAAGTTATGCGCAATTTGCGCGAAGCAATCCGCCAGAAACGCCCGGATTTGTGGAAGAACAAAAATTGGCTTTTGCACCATGATAACGCCCCTGCTCACACATCGTTGCTTGTGCGCGAATTTTTGACCAAAAACAACACACTAATGATGCCGCAGCCACCGTATTCCCCAGATCTGGCCCCCTGTGACTTTTTCTTGTTCCCGAAACTGAAGAGGCCCATGAAAGGACGACGCTACGCTACGATTGAGGAGATAAAGACGGCATCGAAGGAGGAGCTGAACAAGATCACAAAAAATAATTTTTTGAAGTGCTTCGAGGATTGGAAAAAACGTTGGCACAAGTGTATAATATCTGATGGGGATTACTTTGAAGGGGACAAAATAGATATTCATGAATAAATAAATAATTTTTGAAAAAACACAAAATTCGCGATACTTTTTGAACAGACCTCGTATATACACACATACATATTGTATTTCCTTACATATTTTTTTAAGATCAAAAATAAAAAAGTTATTTGGGGTGGGATCTTAAATTGGACACCCTGTATGTATATATATATAAAAAATTTTCTGCATTAAAATATATTCTACGACTGTCCATTCAAAGCGAGTTTCACTCCACCTCCCTCTTCTCTTGCCTCGGGACGTACTTTCCACGCGAAGCGAGTTCTATCCCATCTCGCCAAGTCGCTGGAAAGCCATGTGCCCCTTAACAGAGGCAGAGGTGATGTAAAATTCACTTCGCTTAGAAAGTCGTACGTCCCGAGGCAAGGGAAAGATGAGGTGGAACTCTTTGCGTGGAAAGTCATACGCCCCTAGGCAAGGGAAAGATGAGGTGGAACTCTTTGCGTGGAAAGTCGTACGCCCCTAGGCAAGAAAGGTATAATATAGTTTTTAACCTTTTTAAAAAAGGTAAAAAGAGTAAGAATATATGTGCTTCTCGAATAAATCTAAATAATATGTTACATATCTTTTTATTATTCCAACCCAAGAAATAATAGTTTTAATTCCTCTTTAAAGATATTCTTATTAAAGTGTTTTAGTAATATGACAGTTTTAATTCTTTGTTAAAAATTATTTCTCCTCGAAAAAAATTATTGTATCATGTTAAAAATTAAAACCCAAATACTACAATTCTATTAAATTAAAAAGTAAAGCCCAAGTACTATCTTTGTTATTTACTTAACTCTAATGATATGAATCATTCGTATATACATAAAAGATTTAGTAACAACTCTGGCGCCAAGTTAAATCCCACACCAACCAAACCTATTTAAATAAAGAATATAATCCATGTGGTATTATCTTTAACTTTTGTACAACAAATACTAAGTATATATTTTTGTATTCCTATTGAAGGATCTTCCTATTCCGATCCAAATGGCTTTAATTCTCTTATATGAAATTTTCATATTGCAATTCAAAAACATTTTCTCTTTCAATCAAAGTAGTAATTATTTAATTCTCCTTCAAAACATTATTCATAGCGTTATGTCAAATTTGCGTTACCTTGTCCATTTAAATATAATCACAAATAATTAAAGAAATAAACATTTGGCGCTGTTAGATCAAATAAGAAAAATTATAAAAACGATTCAAAACTTTTAATAATAGTTAATAAAAATAAATAATAAAAAGTAATTACAATTTTTATGTAATAATGAACTTAATCTGAATGTTTTACACCGAATAAAAATAAAGTTTACTGTTCTTTTTTCTTTTTCGGAATGCATGTCTTACAAATCTAAGTTTATTTAGACTTAAATCTAATAGCTTGCACAATTTTCGTAACTTAAATGACTGTCCAATTATATATATGTATGCACACGCTAGATACTTTTACTGGGAATGTTTCTTATTTTATCTGAGTATTTTATTTCAAAAAGTTACAGATCCGGACTTTACTTTGCAATATCTCCGTTTGTAGAATAAATAAAGAAAAAAATAAAAGCACGTGTAATACAATCTAAGTGTAAGCTATTGATTAAGCGTAAAACTCGGATCAGCTGTTTTGAGATCTGATAATCTCGATTCGGCGCAATTCGCAAAGGAAAACTTCATAAAGGAGCATAGCAGTATCTCGCGCCATGATGTTGCACTCTTAGCGCCGAGACACTATCATATTTCCAGATACGATAGTATCTCGGCGTATGTATATTAGTAAAAATAAGACATTATTTTTTAACTTTATTTGTTAATATCTTTTGAATGAAACAGTGACGACTACCTAAAACCTTTTGAAGGTCATTTATCTACACCATCATATATAAAGTGTCATATTTATAATAAAGCACAGAAAATAATGAAATTTTGAAAACAAATTTTATGTAAATATATCTCAAAAACTATATGAGACCAATTAATTTATAAAAAAAAATTGATCAGTACTCTTATCTCTATAACTAATGTCAAGATCAAGATCATTGAAGAAGTGTCCGTAATGTAAAGAAATACTTTCTTTTTTATATTACAATACAAACATATAATTCACTAATTATATATACATAGTAAATGTATAACTTAATAAATGTATAAATTATTTTTTTAAAGAAAAAATTAAAAAAATGAGCATGCTTACTATTGTTAGTAAAAGCATACACTTTAGTAGAAAAAATACAGTAATAATAGATAATTGTGTAATAAAATAAATAAAATGCATTCTAATTGATATAAATTATTAAATTCTTTCCAAATTGCGCATCTTATTAACAAATTGTTTATTAATTGAATTATGTATACATTGTTTTTTATTTTATTAAAATTAAAGATTAAAAATAAATTAATAATGCATAAATTTCAATTTCAAGAAGTTCTTATTAGAGCCAAATCCGTTGGATGTTTACGTAAAATAATTTATAACATCAAAATTAAAGTTACATACAGTAATACAATACGACCTTTACATACATTTCGATCTTTAATCTGCTCATTCTCAGTGTCAACACAGTTATTTATAAAAATAGCTTCAAATATAATAAAATCTAATAAAGCGATAGTTT